CCCCATGCTGTTCTTGTGATGGTGAGTTCTCATAGGATCTGATGGTTTTATAAGGGGTTTTCCCCCCTTTGCTCGGCACCTCTCTCTCCTGCTGCTATGTGAAGAAAGATGTGCTTGCTTCCCCTTCTGTCATGATTGTAAGTTTCCTGAGGCCTCCCCAGCCATGCAGAACTGTGAGTCAATTAAACCTCTTTCCTTTAAAAATTGCCCAGTTCCAGTATGTTCTTGTAGCAGCCTGAGAACGGACTAATATAGCTTCTCTGACCAGCGTGAAGAAGAGCAGAGAGGCAGGGTTGGGAGGAGAACAGGGCGCCTGCCAAGGAGATGGTGAGGCTGGGCTGGCATTCTCTCTCCTCCAGGCTCACCTGCGAAACCTGTGCTCTAAACTTGCTCAAACACCCTGAACCCAGGAGGAGTTGGTGGCACAAAAATTCAATTCAATTCAACCAACATCCAGACTGTACTCAAGCAGCTGTCTTTTGGCCCAGTCACCTCCAACCTCATCTTCTCCCCTCTACTCCCAAACCATGCTCTCTCTGCTCCAGAACCAGGGGCCTCTTTGCTGTTTCCAAAATGTCCATAGCAGTCCCCACTTCAGGGCCTTTGCACGTGCTGTTCCCTCTGCCTTTAGTACCCAAACAGAGTGGCTTGGAGACCCCAGCCCTAGTTCCTGGGGAAGCCCAGCCTCCTCCATCTCATATCCAAGGCCTAATGCCTCCTGGCTGCCTCTGGCTCCCATCTTTTCTCCTGCAGGATATCTCCACTCTGAAGATTGCCCTTGGCCCCATTAATTACCTGTGGGGGTCATCTTTCTGATTCCTTCATTTTGTCCTGTGCCACTAACCCAGGGAAGTGGCTAGGATTTTGCTGAGGGCTTGGAGTAACAAAGGAAGAAGAGAACACTGCCAATCGCATGTTAGAGCTCACTGTCCCAAAAGTGAATTGGCCACTCCCCACCTTGCTGGCTGTGCCTTCTTAGGCCCCATTATCACTCTCTTCTCATGCTGTTTCTTTTGAGACCTTTCTCTTCCCTTCCCTCCAAAATGCCTGATATTTTCTCATGCAGAGTAGTCTAACTTTCCCCTCCTCACCCAAACTAGGCTTCCAGGCCCCTTAGCAATGCCAAAACTCACCAGGGAACGATAAAATAAAGCAACTCCAGGGATCCAGGAGGAACCAGTGGAGACTTGGGAACTGATTTTCTCCTTCATATATCCCAGATCATATTCTTGGCAGTACTCCCTCCTTACTGAGCACAACATGCTCCTGGCTAAGGCTGGGCAGAGTGAATTTCTCTCCTTCCACAGCAGGTGTGATGGCACCTGCTATAGGCAATGCTGTGTTCAGCATTGCATTCAGAGATGCAAGTCAGGCAAGAACCCTGGCCTCAAAGAGCCCTGGCTCCAGGAGTGAAACTTAGCCTCATCCATAAAAAATAATTGGAGATGGGAGGGGGCAGGGAAACCTTGGCTAATCAGAGCAGAGAAGAGCCCGTCAGGTTGGAAGGTCAAGGAGGGCTTCCTTTAGGAAGTGGCATATGAAGGGGGCCCGATCAGATGGCTTAACTTGGGGGACAAGCATTGGGGCAGCTAACCTGGGTGATGTAGGTTTTTTGTTTTTTGTTTTTTGTTTTTTTTCTAAAGCTCCCAGCCCTATGTCTGACAGATTTCACCTAAACCAGCCTTGTTAAATCTCAAGCCCCATGAAACCCGTTTCTGTTATAATCTCTCTCTCTTATCTCTTCCTTGCCTTCCTTTCCCATTCTCCTCCCCCAAAGGATGGGAAATCTTCAAAGAAAAAGATGTGTCACTGTAAGTATACAGCCCAAGAAATGGGCCAGATAAATTATTAAAACACATAAAAAGACAGTTAGTTGTGGGGTGGGAAGCCCTCGGAGGCTGAATGGCCACCCCAGGTGGACAGCATGCTGGTGGCCCCTGGAGACCCCCTTCTCAGAGCCCTGGACAGGCTAACATTTTGCCACAAGGCCCATCTCTTGGGTTCTCACCCCAGACCCAGTAGGGGTGTCATGATTCCAATAGCGGTGAAGCCCCAGGCGCCTGCTGGGCTGGGAGGCGCCAGGGTGAAGGTGGAGGGGGGCTTTGTGTCTGGGCTGGACATTTGGGATTTGCTCCCTGGAAGACTCAAACTGCTAAATGCAGTTTTAGTTCTTGCTTTTATCTCTTTTTGAACTGTAAAAAGAAATTCCCAAGGGGAAGAGGGGATACTTTTTTCTCATGATAGAAGAAAGCCAGGACTGGTTTAAGAAAGTAACCAACTTTCTAAGCACTGTGAGAAAGGATGCTCCAAGTTTTGCTTTGATTTAGAGGCACCCTGGTACCAGTGGGGAGGGGTGAGAAAGGCAAACAGAAACCCCAGATGAATTCCATTGCCTTTTTGGGGTCTGAAAGAGGGTGCCTACTCTGACTCAGATGCTCAAACCCCTGCCTCCCTCCTACTCCCGACCCCTGCAGTTCTGCCTCACTTGTTCATGCTCCTACAGCCCAGGGGTTCTTACTTCAGCATTACCCACATTTGATGCTGGGTCACTTGTTCTGGTGGGGTGGGGGTGGGGCTGCCTTATGCATTGTGGGATGTATAGCAGCAACCCTGGCCTCTACTCACTAGATGCCTCCAGGCATTACCAAGTGTCCCCCAGAGGGCAAAATTGTTTGCTGCCAGCTTCTTATGGGACGGAAAGAAAGAAAAATGGCCTGTTACCCCTGGTGTAACTTACCACACTGTTTACTCATTCATTACATTTATTGTTTCTTGCCTATCTTCCCCCTAGGTGAGTGGGAGTTCCATGAGAGTGGCAGTTGTCTGTTTTGTTCACTGATGTATCTTAAGTGCCTAAAACAATGGTTGTCACATAGCTGGCCCTTCATATTTGTTTCCAGATGGGAGACTCTCTTTCTAGTGGTGGAACATTAGTTTTGCACTGTGTTGGAACAACCTGATGTAGTGAAAACAAGCCTGGGCAATGAAATAAACAGATTGGAGTTCAGTTCCTAATGGGGTCATGGATGAACTGTGTGACCTTGGGCAAGTGAGTTCACCTCTCTGGGTTGAATAGGTTTCCTCCTTTCTAGAACAAGTATGAGTCTGCATCGGAGAGTGGTTGCGAGGACTATGCATGATGGAGGACGAGGACTGACACATCGGAAGTACTGAATGAAGAACTGTAACATAAAAATGACAACAGTAATATATTTTTGTGGTTTCAGCACTCCTCAAATGAAACCACCCAGCCAACAGGATTATAATGTACCTGCTTATAACATTAGCCTTCGTTTCTACCAAAAAGGGTGTGTATAAAGGGAAGCTTGGAAGATGAAAGTAAGACACCTGGATGAAGAGGTTTATGACTCTGGGGGGCTGTGAATTCCTAATGTCCTTTTGAGACATGTAGATCTTCTGGAGCGATGCTTCCCAATGCAGTAGCCACAATGCCAAGTGCAAATGATCACTTGCAATATGGCTAGTCTTTGAGATGTGTTTTAAGTGTAAAATACATACTGAATTTTAAAGACTTAGTGCAATACAAAGAATGTAAAATATCTCATTATATCTTGAAATTATACTATTTTAGATATACAGTGTTCCCTTGGTATCTTTGAGGACTGGCTGCAGGATCCCAGAAGATACCCAAATCCCCAGAATTCAAGTCCCTTATATAAAATGTCTTGTAGTATTTGCATATAACCTACACATACCCTTCTGTATACTATAAATCATCTCTAGATTCCTTGTAAGTCCTAATACAATGTAAATGTTATGTAAATAGTTGTTATACTGTATTAAAAAGTTTTTTATTCTTTATTTTTGCTGTATTATTCTGTTTGTATATTTTCAGTCCACAGCTGGTTGACGCCACAGATGTGGAACCTATAGGGAGGGCTGACTGTATTGAGTTAAGCGAAATATATTATTAATATTTCATCTATTTCTTTTCACTTCTAAAAGATGCGGCGACGAGAAAATTTAAAATTACAAATGTGGCCCACATTATATTTCTATTGGGCAGTGCTGCTCTGGAGAGTCGGCAAAAAGGGCAGAATGGAGCCTCCATTTTACAGATCACAAAACTGAGCACAGGGAATTCACGTCAAAGGTCGGGGCTGGTTTCACTCGAGCTCTGGCTTTTCTCTTCCCACGCCCGGGCTGCCTGGTACCAGGACGAGCGTAACACGGACCCACAGTGTCCCCAGAAGGGGGCAGGCGTTCTGAGAGCCACAAAGGTGGGGTAGAACCCCTTGATGTCCACCGCCCCCCCCACCCCCGCCGCGCGACCTCCCCGCAGAGACCTCCCCAGACAAAACAAACAAACCCATGGGTCTGGCGAACTGCAGCGGGGAGCGGAAACCAAGGAAGATCAAAGACCCAGCGGTTACCCCCTTCCGGGCCGCGCAGTTTGGCAGCGCGCCCCGACCCGGGCGGGCACCCACGGGCCCCTGGACGAGGAGATGCGAGAGATTGGCTGATAACGGGGCGCTTTGGACGTTTGTCGCCGCCAAGAGAGGACTGGGCCCACACTGACCCGGGGTGTGCTGGGGTCTCCTCCTGGACTTCCCAAATAAGAAACTAGAGGAGTGCGCTGGTGGGGGGCGGGGCACGGGGCGGGTAATGAACACTTTCTGTAGAAGGTAGGTCGTGGGAAGACTGGGAAAAGGCAGCGCTGTCGAAGCTTGCACCTGAGCAGCTCAGGTCTCCGCTCCCGACCTCAGTTTCCCCACCTGTAAATTGGAGCCGCCGAGTCTCGCCCTGCCCGTTTAGAAGGAACCTGGAGCGGAGGGAAGTGACAGTACAGTTGGCGAGGGCCGGGGTGTTCTGTCCCAATACATCTCCTGGAAAAGCTGCCCCGTGGGGTCCCCAGACCGCGGCTGGGAGCGCAGTCTGTGTCCGCCCCTCCGGTCCGTGCCCCGCCCCCGTCCCCGCCCCATCCCCGCCCCCTTCCCCGCCCCCGCCGCAGCCCGCCTCGCCTTTGATGCGCCGCACCGGCCAATGGGCGCGCGGGGAGGCGCGGGCCGCCGCGGCGGGCTGGGGGCTCCGCGCTCCCGGGCGTCAGTCGGGCCGCGGCGACGGCGGCAGGAGCGCGTCCCGGCTCCGCCTCGGGCTCCGCTCGGCTCCGAGGCTGAGGAGAGGAGGAGGAGAGCCAGGCGAGGCGCCAGGCCAGCGGGCCGGGCGCATGGCTTAGGGACGCTCCCAGCCGCCGCAGCCCCAGCATGGGGAAACTTCACTCCAAGCCGGGTCAGTGCCCCCGCCCGCGCGCTCGCCCCGGGCCCCGCCGCCCTCGCCGCCGCGGTCGCTAACTCTCTCCCTTCCTTTCTTTCCTTCTCCCGCCGCCGCCGCCGCCGCCTCGCGATGTGCCTACAGCCGCCGTGTGCAAGCGCAGGGAGAGCCCGGAAGGTAGGGGTGCGCGGGGCGCAGACCTCGGGGATGGACGCGGGGGACACCGCGGCCGCGGCAGAACAGCCCAGCCCACCTGGTCTTATGACCAGGGCCACCCCCAAGCCCCAGTTCCGGCCACCGGCTCCCCAAGCCCGCTCTCGGAGCAGCCTTCGCGCCCCCTCCTCTGTCCCTTCTACCAGCTCCCCGCGGTCCTGCGCTCCCACCGCTGACCCTCAACCCCTCCCCCTCCCGCGTCCCTGCCCTCGGCTCCCAGGGCGCCCTCTCCTCAGACCCCCGAGCGCCTCTCCGCAAGACCCTGCCCCCTCTTCCTGCCCCCCGGCGCCTTCTCCCGTATCCTGGCTCCTGCACCTACTGCGGCCCCTCTCCTGACCCCCAGCCCTCTCCTCTGCAGTCCTGGCCACCAGCGCTCCCTGGTCTGATCCCCAAACCCGTCCTCCAGGGGTACTGCTCACCCCTCTTGCCCTCTTCTGTCTCCTCGCTCCTGGGGCTTCGCTGAACCCCCCTTTACTTACCCGCGTCCCTCTCTTGGCTCCTGCCTCAGCCCGCGAACCCCCTCCTGGCTCCCGTGCCGTGGCCCTTCGCCTCCCACCGCGCCTCCTTCCCTCCGCGGGGGTAAGTTTTGGTCCCCGGAGCCCGACTCAGGGGCTTCATGTCGTCCCCGCCCCAGGTGACAGCTTCGCCGTGAGCGCTGCCTGGGCTCGGAAGGGCATCGAGGAGTGGATCGGGAGACAGCGCTGCCCGGGCGGTGTCTCGGGACCCCGACAGCTGCGGTTGGCGGGCACCATAGGCCGAGGCACCCGGGTATGATTCCCCACCCTGCCCCACCTCCTGGCCTCCTTTCAGCCTCAGAGATGGGTCCCCAAACCCATGCACCCCAACTTTGAGCACTTTCCTGCACAGCTTCTGGGTCTAAAAATCTCTTCTCAGTTGCCCCCTGCCCCACCAACGCGACCCTCTTCCCGGATGCCTTGGAGAACCTTGAAGTGCCCAGCTGGAGGCAGAGGGCTGCCTGGGGGGAAGGTCCTAGGTGGGGAGGTGGTGAAGGTCCAGTTGATGGGGAAGCATGTCTGTACCGGAGGGATTTGGGGACCTGCTCTGACTTCTACCTTGTTTCTGCCACCAGCATTCAAAGGTGGAGGTGGAGTAGGGGCTAGGGAGAGGGCGGTATTGGGGTGTCTGGGTGGAGGGTAGAGCTGTGCTAGCCCCAGGATCTGAATATGTTCTGATTGTCTGTGGCATTCATCAGTGCCACCTGTACAGGAACCCCAGCAGAGCAGGCGGCTCTCTGGGTAGCAGATCTAGGGGGACTGAGACCTGGCAGACCCCTTACTTGGCACATGAGAGAGAGGGCCTCATTCTACTGTAGCCTGGGCACAGCCCTGAGCCTTCACCCCATGGGTCCCTGAGGCTGGAATTCGTGGAGGAGCACTAAGTGTGATGGGAATGAGTGAGTCCAGCCCCAGCTCCTGGCCTGGGACTTGGCGTTCACAGATGTCCTGTGAGCTCCGGAACTCTGCACGGGGCTTTCAGGCGGTCTGCGTGGAACTCGCGCAAGCCTAGGATCAAAGGATGAATCAACTTTTTGATGTGACATTTAATTTTTTTTTTTTTAAACTTAGAGGGGGAATAGACTGAGTCTCAGGTCTGGTTAGTTCTTTGGTCTTATCCATGGGCTGGGGAGAGGCCAGTGGAGACTTCAGATGTGTGTGTATTTGGGTGGTGGGACCTGGCAGCCCGCTTGCAGTGCTGGTGTCGCGAGGTGGACCTGTGGATAAAGTCAGTTCCTGTGTGTGGATGAAATAACCTCTGGGCCTGGGAGAAGCTCCCCTGTCCTCCTCCACCACCACTGCTTAACTGGGGGCTTCTCTGTCTTCTGTTGGCTTGGTCGGACTTGAAGCTGCTGTCCCCTAGTAAAGGTCAAATCTTGGTGGGTGGGGGGCACTGCAGTTGAGGCCCTTTAAAAACAGAACTACAAACCTTCCCTTCTTCTCCTGCCCTTTCTAGTTTTTGATCTACTTATTTATTTAAAGACCAACGAAAATGGTCTAATTTAGCCGTATGAACAAATGCATTTGCAGCTCCAGACAGAGGCCCACTGAGTGGATTTCCATTAATCAAGTTTTGGGTTTTTTCAGCCTGTTTATTTTTACAAAGTATTCCTGCAGAATGACATTTATTTGCAGTCCCTCCTTTTTCTTTTTTTTCTGAACTGCCAGGCAGCTTGCTCCGTGCTAGAGGGAAAACTTGAAATACAACGAGGGCTTACTTCAATTGACTTTTATCTTCAAAGCCATAACAAATGTTACCCGCATGTTTTTGGTGGGTCTCCTTGGCATCCAGTCTGGGAGGATGGGAGGGAGGAGGAAAGAGGGAGAGGAAAACAAAAGTCTGTCGTTTTTAATTAAATAGTAGTGTTCCCAGCGAGAGGAATGCAGGCCAGTAAAAGTTACCATTGGGGGAAGTGAGGGAGGATGGGGAGGGGGCCCCAGCTTAAGTCTGTGGCTTTGGTGAAGTCACGGAATTCTGTTGCCTGGTTTCTTCCCCTAGCTGAGGACAGCATGGGATGGTGCCTGTCCCCCTCCCTCCCTCGCCCCCTCTCTCAGAGAAATGCTGAGAGGTCATTAATGTTTGTTCAAAGTACTTTTGAAGATGTGAGGCTCAGAGCCGTTGGCGTGACATGTGTCAGGTGGTTGGAGGGTGGGCCCCAGCCATCAAAGATGTTAAGCAGGGGGCCGGCCTCTGTCTCCTTGGGAGTTGTTCTTGCTGCTGGGGACCCAGACGCCTGGGTTTTCACCAACCTTGGCCCCAGATGGCCCAGCCAGTGTGTCTGCAGAGGTAGTGATAAGGAGTCAGACCTTCAGGGGGAGTCCAGGGTGTGGAACAGCACTCCAGGCGTCCTCCAGGTGATTTCAGGTGGTACCTGGATGAATATTTTAAATCTTAATAGTTATCTTTTTTTTTTTTTTTTTTAAACCAGAAAAAAAAATAGCTAGGACATCAAACCCATGATTTTGCAGATATTATTGCTTAGGATGAAGCTAAGTTAAAAAAGAGTCTAATGTGAAGTCGATTCAGAGAAAAATATTAAGTACAAGTGGTCAAAATTGTGAATGTGGGAACGGAATGCCCAGTTTGGGAAGCACTGAGATAGTGAACAGGACAGCAATGGGCAACCCTCAGGCTAGTTCATTTCCTCGATTCCCTCTGGTGCCGAAGGGGTAGCTGGTAGGTTCTTCCATGATATTATCAGGATGTAGGAGGGCGTGGGCTGCAAAGTCTGCTGGTTTCCAAGGGCTGGCAGAGGTCCTCCCACCAACCCCAAGCCTGTTTTGGGGCTAGTCTCTGCCTCCAGTCGTTTATGTGGCCTGTCAACTAAGTGGCTGGAGACACAGTGGCTCATCCAACTAGTATTACTGTTATTGCAATAATAACTAGTATTTATTAAGTGCCTATATGTGTCAAGCACTTTGCTTACATTATCTTAATCCTCCCCATAACCTTGTAGTGTTGACAGCCCGCTGGTGTGGACTGTGTGTTTCTCCCTTTCTGGAGCAGTTTCTAGGAGAAGCCATGTGTAGAGAAGCCCTGTGCCAGGGCATCCGCCTGGAGGGTGCTGCATACAAAACTCCCAGAGAGGGGGTGCTTCGAGATGAGCCAGTCGTGGGGCAGGCAGAAGCAGGATGGCCCCTGTTTGCCCTCTTCCTTCCTGACAGGATCTGATGAACTTGGGAAATGTCCCAGATGAGTCCAAGTTGCACACAGGGTCCTGAGATGTGAAAGGGTGACCATGCTGGCATTAAACTAAGCCTGCCCTCTTAAATACAGAAATAAATGAGGTCAGGCTCTGTCCTAGTTATTTGTCACCTGTGCAAACCATTTTACCCTTGTATACCTTAATTAGCTCATCTGCAAAATGGTATAATATTTTCGTCCCTGGCGGGTTATGATGGGATTATAACCGTTGAACCTGGGAAGGAAGTTAACCTACTGGGAGATTCACTGAAGACATTTGTAGGGTTGGAGATGGGGGCCTACAAACAGGGAGTGATAGGGCTGGGATAAGAGCACCAGAGGCTCTCTGCCTCCCCCACTCTCATGGCAGGCTCACTTGGAGGGATGCAGGCCAAGGGCTGGGCTTTTGCCCTTTCCATGGGGACATGAGCAAGTCCAAGGGAATATGGGCTCATAGGAGAAAAGGAATGAGAAATGGGAGGCACACGAGTACTGTGGAAGAGAAGCAATAAACTGACCAGCACACACGCCAGAGAACACTGTGTTAAACAGAATTAGAAAGCAAAATAAGCATCATAAACTCAGAGAGACAATGGAGGATGCTGGAAACATGAAGCAGCAACAGGCAGTTAGAGAAGAAAACCAATTGGAAACACTGGGTGTGGAAAATAGAATGGACAAGTGAAAAAGCTTAATAGATTGATTCAATAGTGCAGGGGACTCAGGTATCAGGTGGGAGACACTTGGTGAAGACCTGTGTGCCTCTGTATACACTCACAGGCAGATTGTAAATATGTACAACCAGATTTAAAACAATCTCCTCCCCACGGCCCCGATTGGCCCTTTTGTTCTTGTACAGCAGAGCTGCCCGAAGAAATAGGCTGAGAGCCATGGTGCAGGCAAGCCCGCCTCTGGATCAAAGGTGGCTGCCAGGCAGTTTGGTAATTTGGCTGGGGGCACCTAGTACATTTGGATATTTGGAGAAGATGAGGAGGGTGCAGGCTTACATGTCCCATGGGGACATGTGGGGTTGGGTGATGAGATTGGAGGCTGGCCCAGCTGTTGCCCGAGCGCCGGATTCCAAGGGAATTACCCTTGAATGATACCAGTTGGCACAATTAAAAGGCTCCATGTCTTTACCATATGGAAAGTGTTAGGCTTCTTTACGTGGTTTCAAAGCTATGTGCTAGGAGGTGGGCTTGACATTTGAGGTAGAGCATAAATTAAATATTTGGTGTTTCAGGATTAAAAGACGATTTGCTTTAAGGCTGGAGAAGGACTCAGGGTGGAGGTGTTTGGGCTTTGCTCACTGGCATTTTCGAGTTCTCCAGGGAGGGTCCCCTCTACTCACAGGCACCAGGGCCAGCTGCCTGGCCCAGCCTGGGCACTGTCTTTCCTCCTGGGGGGTGGGAAGCAGAGGCTGGGAGAGCTTGGGCTGGGCAGAGTGCCGGGGACTGGAGGGACCTTCTGGTTTTCCATAGGTCCCACAGGATGGGTGGGTGGTGGCCATGGGTGTCATCTTCTTAGTGCTTTAATGGGTCTTTGTGATGTGGTCTCTGGTAGAGGCTTCGAGGAGTGTCTTGTCCTCACTTTGAGACATTTCTTCTTGGGAAAGGAGGCCGGATGCCCCTGACCCAGACTATGCATGCCTTCTGTTCTCTAGAGCCCAGGAGCACCCTCTTCATTCACATTTTTGTAGGAAACCTGGGGGAAATCAAATCCAGGAGGCACCTGCTATGGGTCCTGCAAGGTCCTAGAACTTAGGGGACGCTTCCTCTGCTCGCCCAGTGGGGATGTTGGAAGGTAGGGATGGACGGATCGATGGACAGTGTTGCTGTTTGTACCAGGAAGCTCAGGTACACTCCGGGATCAAACCGTCTCCATGAGGGCATGAAACATCAAGGCTGAACTGTCAGCAGCAAAAAAAGAAGAAATAAATGAAGACACCCTCCCTGCCTCCTTTTTCCCCAGCTCCTCTTCCCTGGTCAGCTTCTTCCCTTTAATTCCTGCTTCCAAATTCCATCTTTTCCCAGGTCCTCCTGTCTGGAGTGGAAGGGTAGAACCAGGCC